TGGTTTAGGATGATCTAATAGCTTATAACACCTGAAAATATATTCTACCCATCTCGTCCCTTCAATGCCTTGCTCCCAGCAACATACTCCCTCATACCCTGACATTATCAGCTCCAGTGTTCATTGGACCTTTTGCTGAGATGCTTCAATTTATAAGCCAGAAAACTAACCCAGAAAAAAGATAGATAGGTTTATTCCAGTTTAGCCAATGGATTCAGCTCCATTAGAGGTCCGATGCCACTAGAGCCAGCACAAGTCTCAACATATGCTTGACTTAGGAATTAGCCTCCTAATATTGGCTTGGGTTTAACATGTAGCTTCATCTTAAAGAAATGCTAGCATCCTCAGCTAGCTTCAAGGTCAAAGCCAAGATCTATGCAGGGGTTTCCATTCACGGCCACCTGGGATACGCATGCCCATCCCTGAATAAGGCTGTGGGATCACCACTTCTTCTGGGACTCCTTCAAGGCTGCTGTGAGATTCCTAGTTTGTATCATGCCACATAAACCCAAAAGGCTTTCTGGGGTCATATCCTACTGCAGCACTGTTAAAAACAGGCTAAGCTGCACTGTAATACTTCAGAATTAAAACAATGGGGGAAACACCAGACAGCTATTCAGCCTTTGAATTTCTTCTGGCTTTACTGCTAGGTTGGATCATCAGGCTGAGTGAAAATTTCCCTCTGGTTTTAGCTGACAGCACCAAACAACACTGCTGAGCCAGGTAAAAATATGTCATTAAACTCAAGCGATTGCATTTTGTATATGGAAAAGATAGATTTTCAGATAGATGCCTAAGGTAATTTTGCGAAAGATACAGCTTGAGCACATGACTGCACTAATGCAGCATCTCCAAATGGCCCCTTAGTAGGACAGTATAAGACTTAGTAAGCTTTATGCAGCCAAAAAGAGCCCATTCTTAAACCTGAAATGTTGACACAGCTTTCTTAATGGTGGACAAGACAGAGACACACACCTGACAGCACATGGAGAGGTGCATTCAGCATAAAATGTGATAGAGCTCAGCACAGCTAACTCTCTACAAAAAAACTTTCTGGCTCTCTGCAGAGCCTGAGGTGGTTAAAAGCATCACCTTTTCAAACTTCAAAATAAATAATCGTGCAAAACTTCCTTTTCCTCAGTACTTCCCTTATCTTTAATAAAATACAAAAACATTTTATTTGAAGAAGAGGAAGAAAAGAAGTCTCTGTCCTGCAATCTCCTGCTGTTCATGTTGGTTCATTTGCCAAAGAACCTTTCCCTCAGAGGAAGATAACTGGTATCTCCTTATCACTTCCTCTGTGTACTGGGAGAATTTTATTTTTTTTTCACTGTACACAGAAGACAGAAAGTACATTAATTTTAATTACAAAAATCTTTCATTATCATATTAATTTTTTCATCATGTTTAACAACTAACCGTTAGCTTCAGTAGAAGAAAAACCTACAGATTGCTCTCTTACAGGCTGGTTTTATTCCATAAATTTATGTCAGTCTGTGACAGAGCATTACATCTTTGTATGACATCTGCATAAGGTTCCCTCTCCAAGGGGCTGCTGTAGCTGTTTCCTTTCATTTGGTAATATCACTCTCATCTTGTTTATACTAACCTTTGTCTATACAGTGTCAGAGAGATGCAGACTGGCTGCTCTATATACTCCTCTGTATTAGTCAGTGCTAATAGGATGACAGCATAGAAGGTGGTATCATTATCATGTGGATATATTGTCTGTAGTTTATTTCCTAGGGAGAAGAACACCAGTTTAAATTTATGAACTAAAATCTATTTACAAATTCCACAGTCAGTTTAATCTGGTATAAATCAGCTCTACTACAAGTCACACGGCCATGGCTGCTTATCCCGGCCTCTTGCTTTTGCCAGCACTAGTGCCCATGTGGTGAACCACATCAGGGAACAGATCCAGCTGAAAATGAACCCTTTTTTTTTTTCTTTTTTTCTTTTTTTTTGCCAGCTGAGTTTTCATTCCGATAAACTCCCTGCTCCAGCTCACTCATGGCTGCGCAAAGCAGTAATGGCAGTGTGAAGGAGGCAGTACGAATAAATAGCCAGTGGTGTAAGACAGAGGGAGACTCATCCTTTTACTAGCAGCATAGAACCAGCCATTTATCCTGCTTAAGCTGATCATGGACCTGTGGCATTAGTTAAAACTGGTGCCAGTCACTGTAGGGATTACCTTATTTTCCTGCTTATTTTCAGCACAGATCCCAGGAAGCCAGGGACACCCACATTTTTCTCACCCATGCTTCTTTTTTTCCCATTGCTACCTCCAGTCCTTAGGCATCTATTGATCCTGAAGCTCTCAGAAATACTGAGTATCTGCACAGGGATACACTTGGTATGAGACACTAACATACTAAAAAACAGCACACATTATCCAGACTTCATCTTTCAGCGCAGTGATCCACTTGCACTTTGGGAAACGGTGCCAGAAGCTGTAGGCTACAGATCTACAGTTCCCTGGATGAGCACAAAAGGTGTTATGCGGACTAATAAAGTAACACTCTGTTTTCCTACCACCCTTATCCATATAGGCAACCTGACCTGCTGTTGGAACTAACAGCACTGGAGACTCCTGACTAATTATCTCTTGTGTACACAGGGCTTGACTGAAATGCCCAGGACCAGCTCTTTGGTTGGCTCCACTCTTATCTTACTTGAGCTGATAAAGGGGGTGCGTCTACCCTTACTACAGCTCCTCACAAATCCCTGGGCAGAAGCAATCCCTTCCTGGCAGATTCTGTCAACAACAAACAGCAGTGCTTTTCCGCAGTGTCACACCAATCTCAGCTCTATAGCACAGTCAAGCAACAGCAGCATCTGAGTAATTTACGTTGTCCCCATTCCTATGTGTGCCTTGCTGGTGAGGCTGTAGGGAGAAGGAAGGAAAAAACGATATCACAGTGAGAAATATTTACCAACTACTTTACAGTTCCCCAGGTTGTTAGCTCTTACAGTTACAGGGATTACTTCTGATCTTAAACAAATGGCACAGCGTATGCAAATTGATCAGTATTTCTTCACCAGCATCCCCATTTTGAAAGTTACTTCCATTACAGGGCTGGGAATCTATTAACCTGAAAAACTCCCCAGGAAGAGGAGACAGCCTAACATCGAGAGTAATTTGTCTCTTCAAAATTGTTGCTATTTAAGATTGAAAAAACAACATTCCTGAATTAACATGTTGTAATTTTTATCATCACATTCTTTCTATTCAACACCTTACCTACAAGTGTTAGCACATAAGTTCTTTTACTTGCTGATTTAGCTGAGTTACAAGGAAAAGTATATCACAGACTCTCGGTTCCAAAAGACATGGTACTTGGGTACAAGTCTGGAACAAGAATAGCTTCACTTAAATCAGTTTAAATTAGTAACAAACATAAAACACACTTTGAAACAAGTTACCAAGAAGCTAAAGTAGTTAGCCTACATCTACAAGAAAATGGCTGAGCTTAGATCAGTTGGAGTCAACATTTGTACCAGCACTGGGAACGTCTATCCACTAAGACTGATGTAGCCCAGCAGAGCATTCCCTGCAGAAAGAGCCATTTCACATCTCCAGCCACACATTTCTATCCTCTTGTTGGAGGTCAGTGTCCCAATGGGAGACATGAAAGAGCATGTCCTTAGAACACTCTCCATCTGCTTCAGTGCTAAGTGGGTTGACTTAGTTAGATAGTTCTCTTCATAAATTAAGCCAGTCTTTGTACCAAATTGGGTGAGGGGTGTTCACAGCTTCCAAAACACTAGTTTAGATGGGGCATAGCTGGCAAGTTTTAGCCACAGGGAGTTACAAAGAACAAGAGATGACAATGTGTCCAGCCAGTACAGCCATTTCTTCCATGAAGGTCTGACCCATATGTCTGATGTGACCATATATCTAGCCAAGGTGCAATTTGTACTAGCTTGATTTGTACCAGCATAGTGAAAGCATCCCTCTTCCACATGGCCCTCCAAAACAAAACAAAGCTGTATTGCTGCAGTTTCCAGCAGTTACAGCTTAGGTAAAGGCCATGTGTGCTCCAGGACGCAGGTGGAACAATTTGAGAAAAGACTGCCCAGAGGTGCTTTTCTACCACTGCCCTGCTGCAGGTCTTTTTGCTGATGCTGCTGAGCCATGCTAAAGTTGTGTGAGTGGCCCTAGCCCATTTCAGCACACATGGTAAATTAAATCTAGGTATCTGCTGATGTTGCATGGGCTCAAACGACGAATACTCACTAATCAGCCTAATTTTATCAGTAGTAAAAAAGCTTCAAAAGGTATTTCAAGAGTTTATTAACAGCTCCTGTGAAACAGCAAAGTTCTGTGTCAAGAACCTTATACTGTTTTCTGTAGTACTTTTGGTAGAAATCTCTAATGCAGGCTCTAAGGTTTATCTGTGCTGCAAAGTGGTACAACTGCATAAAGCAGAGCTACCTGTGCAAAACCCTAGTAGAAACAAGGCATGTAGATAGAGATGAGACCTTTTAACCTTTGTTGTACACCTGCTGCAGTTTATTATGTACCTATTGCAGTCCGGCAGAACAGTTTTTATTTCCCCATGCAATATGTAGTGGTACAGGGGGGTTTATATTAAGAAATAAACTGTAGTTGAGATCTTCCCGGGTTGGGTTTTTTTGTGGTCATGGGCCCTTAAGTATCCTTTCCAGGAGTAGGTGCCCCGACTTTGCTCCACCCTTTAGCAGTGCGTGTAAATCGAGGGCAGGTCAGGAAGTCCCAGCTGGGAGAGATGGTTCCTGCTCGCCAGGACCTCAGTGAGGGCTCAGCAAGCGGTACAACTGGGAGATATGTCTTTTCAACGGTGTTATAAGCTGGACAGAAAGAGAAAAGTTTCAATCATCCTCCTTCCTCCTGTTTTTATTGCCGTGTATGGTGTGAGGACTGCTGCATGCAACAGCCTTTAGTGAGGGGCTCTGGACCTCTTCCTTCTGCTCAAGCTTTCCTGAAGGATCTCACGGGTATTTCAGGCTGCAGGAAAATGTACCGGGGAAACCATGCTAGGTAAGGCTGTCTGAGCTGCCACGGACCTTCTTTAGCCAAGGATGCTTTTTCTTTTAGCAATGCTTTTTTTGGTTGATAATCAGGCCAGGAAGATGAAAAGAACAAATGTACCTGGAACTGCGAGTGAAGTGAAGGCTAGTGCTTTCCTCTTGACTTTGCTGCTTTTGTATCTGCCGGCAATAAGCTAGTTGTGGTAAAGAAATGTGCCGAGAGAGATATTTTTGAATGGTTGTCAACCAGCAAATGTATGGAATCCGTAGCTTTCTGGAAGCAAGCCTAACCTGTACGTCCCTGTTCCTCCCCTGCCCTCCATTTTCAAGTTTAATTTGAGATTTTTTTTATGTGTTAATTCGAATTATTGCTGGAATAAAATATTTGTAGTTTATACAATCAATGGTTGATAAAGCTTTGAAAAATCCCTCACCAGCCCCTTTCCACACATACACACCTCTCCTCCCCCCCCATCTTCGTTTCGGTGTTTGTGTCTTATTAGCACAAATTTATTTCAGGGTTTTTTTGTTTGGTTGTTTTTGTTTGTTTTTTCTAGAATTCTTTTCACTGTGACTCTGGTTTGTCAAACTGTTCATTTAGGAAAAGGTAAGGAAAATCTCGTGTTTCCCCGCCCCCCTCCGTGTTTCTGTTGTACATTTACAGTACGTTTTGCTTCATCACAAGCTACTCTTCCATATTTGCACTTCTTGTCAAGGCCGTGAAGATGTGAAAAGTCTCAATGCCACAGCGCAAAAGTCGCAGCTCAAGAACGAAGGGACTATTATAAGTGCTCTCACTGACATGAATCAGAGTTATGAAAGCAGAAAGCAACAGAATTCCAGGGCATTGGTACCTTTCACTGGGATTACAGAGAGTAAGTAACATTACTTATTTAAACCATGGCATAAAATTGCTTTTTAATATATCACAGTAATGCTTGGACTGTTGTCTTGGAAGATTTTAGCCTGTTGGTTTTCTGTGGTTGCTCATTTAAATTACTCCAGTAGCCGCTTATGAAATGGTGATAACGATTTAAGGTAGAACCAGAGATCCCTTTCCTGCAAAAGGTGGAAAAACAGGTAGAGGCTGGAATTAAGAAGGGGTTGGTCCCTGGGACTTGCAAAAGTGTTTGTAAAATTTTGTAAAATTCTGTTCTTTTTAAATTCAACATATTTCATGACCAAAAATTATTTAATTAAAAGAAAAATTTCAAGCTGTCTGAAAGCAGTAGTACTAACAGGAAAAATCCAAGGACAGACTTATGTTTCTTCCCACATATATAAAGTTTAAATTGGTACTCACTCCCAGAAGTTTGAGAAATGCTTCAGGGAGCATTCCCCTGCCCTCTCAAAACTAAGCAACTTCTCCCAGTGACAAAGCCTCCTTTCTTCAAAAATAGTCACCGCTTCCCGGTAACAATGCCCCTTTTCTTAGTGTGACTGAAACCTGCCTCCGTCAAAGTGAAATATTTCACTGGAATATAGGTGGCTGCTGCTGCTACGAGACTTGCCAGGCGTTGTTCCTTGACCATTCTGTAATCCCTAGTAGTTTGCTTCTAATCCTTAACTAAACAAACTGGGCTTAACTGAACAAACACTCCTAACGGGTAGATAATTTTATTGTCTCTAAAGACAATAAAACTAGATATCCTTAAGATCCTTTGGCAACTGCAGAGACCTGAGAGAACAAGTGAGGAAAAGGGGAGGTTCAGAGCCCCCGGAATGCGTGGTAACCTGTGATACTGTCTTGCAGGTAAAAAACTGAACAGACACTGCTGTCAAAACGGAGGGACCTGTATCCTAGGGGCTTTCTGCGCCTGCCTAAAGCATTTCACTGGCAGATACTGTGAATACGATGAGCGGCAAAGGTAAAAACCAGACCAAAACCAGAGAGAGTGAGCAAGCTGCCCTGGAAGGTTATTTTCTGTGATGTGATCAGGGATGTACCAAATGTCTCCATTGTTCTTGACAGCAACTGCGGCAGCATTGCCCACGGTGCCTGGGTGCTGAAGGGCTGCTGGCTGTGTCGGTGCGGCTATGGTACTCTGAACTGTCTCTCAGAAATAATGCATGATAACTGTGGTAAGGAATGGCATTAAACCAACCATTTTAATCTTGTGGGTAACAGAATTGCCTTCTGCAAAGGTGGGGTACTCGGAGATTGCTGTATATGCTCTATTTAGACTTCTGCAGGGGCCTACTTTGTTTCAGAGAATGCATTAGAGGGACAGTAAATAATACTGCTGTTGCCTGTATAGTACATCACATAAAATACTTGGAGATCTCTATAATCCTGTGCAGTAGGAAACTTCCCCCACTTAATTGGAAATTACAGAGATTAAGTGTTTCTCTGTTCTGCAAAACCTGCACATGTCTATGGCTTCCCACTTAACTAGGACAATTTGTACAACCAAAGGACATCCACGGATACCTAAACACTTTGTTAGATGAGGAAGGAGAAAAAGCGGTAGCATAAAGCTGGTGTGGTAGAAGCAGAAACCAGTATTACTCTAAAGAAACAAGTACTGAAAACTTGCATGTTGTTGCATAAGCCATTTAATACATAAATGTCAGAAAACTAATCCAAACCTTATTTTAAGATCTGTGTTTAATCTTCAAAATATTCTTGTACAGAGTTCTAGGACTGAGCTACTAGGTGTAGCTGTAGTCCTGATTAGTCTAAAGTAGTAGCATCCAGTCTCCTCAAAAGCACTATATTACTTTAAGTCAAATCTATACATCAGCCTGTGAAAATCCCTGTATAAATGTTTGAGTATTTTTGAAAGTGGTGTATCAGCTCTCATGAAAGCTTGGGGATTGCTTTACAGGTATTTATTTTCCATGGCGAACTGGCTACTGAGATCCAGACAATTCTCAATAGTCTGAGGTGACTAATAAGAGTTTAAAATTATTTTATCTCCAGTGGCAAAGTTAGTGCAAAATATTCTTGCTCTTCTCCATCCATGATGTCTTATTCCTACTGTGTTGTAATATATTTCCTTCAGCTGTGCCAACATTGCTAATTAGCAGGGTGAAAAAAAGCAACAGACCTAAATAACTTCAAGGCTCATTTGCACCCCAAGGAACTGCTGGCCTCTTCTTTCCTTACCAGATTCCTATCTGAGTGAGCAGCAGTACCTTGAAGTTGTGACTCCCGAGTTATACCACCACCTCAGAAATAAATATAAATTTCAAAACTTAAGCTTCTTAGATCCTCAAGAGATGCCGTACTGTGTCATAAGCCCTCAATCCAAAGGGGTGAAATGCAAAAGAAAGTTGACATTCCTATCTTGCAACCACAGACAAAAATAAAATAAAAAACCCACCAGAACAAACACACCACCAAACCCACTTTTGCCCTGAAGTCTTCTCTATTGACTAATTTTGTGTGGCACTCAACTTGCTTGTTAAAGCTCTTCAGAAGACTTAAATGCTCAAGTTCCCTCGGGTGTTCACCTTTGAATCAAACCTATTGGTTTCCATTACAGGAGCAAACAAGCCTCGACGCGCTCAGTAAAAGCAGTCGACTGCTTACTACTCTTGAATTTAGCTTAACAAAGGCAACAGAGGTTGCAGGAGAATCATCTGCTCATCCTTTGAGCAGGGTCTCCTGTCTTTCATGTGTGTGAGGGCATGGCTTTCTGCTTGTGTTAAAAAATGGACCCCTTTCTTGTTAAAGGAAGGGTTAAAAGGCTACATGCAGACTCTTGTGAAGATCTTGCTTTTGCTTGGTATTTACTTTTGATTATTCTGAGATTAATGCTTGCAAGAGCTGATAAGTGCTATCAGTTGCTCCTCAAACGATCATTGATGGGACATCTATTTACATCTCTGCCCTGAGAATAGCCTTTTTCATTGGCTTTAACAGCTGATAGCTTTAACTGAAGTACCTGTGAGATGTTGGAGGACTTTCAAAGTATGTTGAAAACACTTGTATTTTAAAATTTACCTATTTTACCCATTAACCATTTAATTTTCTTGATACTTTTTTTTTAGAACTGAAATCAGGAAAGGAGGAAATTACCAGATTATATTCTAATGGCCTAAGACTACAGCAAACAGTGCTTGCACTCCCTTGCCTGCTCCTCGTCCTCCTGGAGCTCTGCTACTGGCACTTGTGAAACTGGACAAAGGGAAATATCTTAGGGTTTATGTAACCATCACTATAAGTCATACAATTTTTCTCTTCTGTGAGCTACAGAAGACACTTCTTACCTGTTGGAGGCAGAGTAAAATGTAGTAGTTAATGCTGAATGCTTGGATTATTATACATTCAGATTATATGAATGTTAAGTATTTATTATTATATTATTTTATTACTGCTATTAATGTCTGATTCTAACAATTCTTTAGTTCTAAAATACTGTTCTTCCAGTGGAAGCAAAAAACTCTCCAATGTTCTATGCCTTAAGTATTGTAAATTATAGTAATTTTTTTGTACATAGTACAACTATTTTAATAAATAAAAGTGGTATAATTTCTGAAGGGTTTTTATGTTTGGCTTTATTTAAACTTGAAAATTCTTATCTAACATTTGTCCTTGTATTGTACCCTGTAAGAAAAGGGCAGGGTAGAATGAACAATCAGAAATTTTAATAGATGAGGGTTTTCAGAGTAGGTAAATTTTAAACCTCAACGTATAGAACTCTAGAGGTAATACAGTCTTTCAGTTTTTATTATTTATTATAGCTAAATTGTATGTATAATCTTAGGCAGAAAGCACAGGGGTTTTTAACAACATGTGGCTGATACTTAATTGGGTTTTTGGGGTTTATTTTATTTCATGTGCTAAATATGAGCTTCTCTTGTCCTTTTAAAAGGACAGCAAAGAGCAACCTCTTTAAACCTTTTTGGTAGGAAATCTGTCTTGATTTATATACCATATAAATATGAGTATTCCTAGGCTATAAAGTAAAAAATGTTTGGAATGTGTAACTGTGTTTGTAATGCAAGTTTATAAAACACCAGAAAACTGTTTGTAATTTTTTTTTTTTTTTTTAAACAGAGAGAAGCCTAAAATATACCTTCATTCTTTGAATGTGGAGCTACCACACAGGAAAAAGTTTTATAATTTGGCTGGCTTAAAAGACAGTATTGATGTATAAAATCCTTAAGGACTTTAAGAAGTTCAATATATTTAATTCTTAAAATATGTTTATTCATTTCTTGGGTGCCACAAACAAGACAACAATCCAGTTATTAAGGAGAGAAGGGTGCATCACCAATGAATAACACAGTGGTGTCCCTGCTCATGGCAGAGCGGTTAGAATTAGATGATCTCTAAGGTCCCTTCCAACCCAAAACATTCTATGATAGTATCTTGTCTGCCTCTGAATCTATGACTATTCACTAACAGTCTCTTTTTATTGTGTAAAAACATATTCATTTTAAATACTGTAAAGGATTCGGGCTGCTCCTTTCTGCACCCTAGACTTCGGTGGAAAGACTAAGGTTTCTCACTCTTTGCATAAGATACACTAGACCAGAAATGGTCCTTTTCTCTTTATTTCACACAAACTCAGTGTACTCATATGCCTGTGTTTCCACAGACTTTGAAAAGGAGCTACCAGCTTAGGACAATCAAATATCAAAGAGAACAGCTGGGGGAAAATAGTCATGCCTTTATTTATCAGATGTTGAAATTGCAGGAATGCCATTGTGAAAACATCTTGGCTTGCTGTAGAGCATACATGAGAAGTCTGTAGGCAATACAGCTTGTAATGTGCTTCAAATAGGCTTTACTTTTTGAAGAAAAGTACATAGTACAGTAAAAATATATCCAAAGTAATACTTTTTTTTAATATATATCTCTACAGAAATCATACAGAGCCATAAAAGATTGCAATTAACCAAAGGATAGAGTTGTCCAATAAAGATTTTATGATAGAAGAGCTCTTTCTGTTGCAATAACATCCATAGAAGATTTAATCAGGAAAAGCTGATCTGGAATAACTCCTTATGTAGATGAGCCTATATGCCTGCAAGAGTCGCCCTGGTGGAGTTATATGTTGGGTCAGTATGCCTTGAATGATTAGAGCAATTTAAAAGTCTAGCAAAGCAACATTTTCCTGCTGTACCAAAACATCAATCCAAGGCATCTAATTAGAAGCAGCAAGGTACAGTTTCAAAGCACTGCATGGGGAACTTAGCTTGGTAAGTGATTCTAATTAATGTCAGTGTAAATTACTACTCCCTCTTAATACTAGGATTTGAAAAATTTCTCCAGTGTACCTGGAAGTAGTGATAGATTTTTCTTGGTTTGTTTTTAAGATAACAATTCTTTATCTTATGCCATTGCATTCTGTTTTACTGGAGAATCTGAAAATTATGGCTTCAGAACTGTTTTGCATCTACCATCCTAAGGTAAAACATAGTGATGGTTAGTCGGGGAAGACATTTGTTTGGTCTTTGAGTCAGGGCTCTGGAAGTTGCCATGAGTAGAGGGAACGGAGCACAGTCTGTTGTCCTTGCATACCTCTGAAGCAGAAACAGCCACAGGAGCTCAGTTTGAGGAGAAACAGGTATCTCCTTAAGTTAAAAAAAAAAGAAAAAAAAAAAAAAAAAGGAGGAAAAAAAAGAAAAAGCATTCAGAAGCTGTCCATGCATAGTCTCATTAGCAAATAAAAATATAACTAAGAAAACAGAAAGCTCTAAGGAACAAAGGAAAACACAATCACAATCACAATCTTTGCGTAGGTTAAAACTGCCTCCGCTTTTATCTGTCTCCAGCTGTTTGCAAGAACAGATAAAAGAAAGCACTATTTTCCTCCCCTACTACCATGTAGGCCTGGACAACCTTCTAACACTGCAATTACAGGCACTTCAGTGAGGTTTGTTTATAGCAAACAGTGATGCTTGCTCTCCAGCCTCATGCTAACTCTTTATGGGCCACTCCATCAAACATAGCACGTCCCAGCAAAATAGACATCTGTTGCCACAAATTCATGCATGTGCCCTCTCTATAGGCAGCCACGTTTGGACAGTGGGAAGACCCTCAAAGAAAAATATTTATCAAATGTTCACAGGCCACATAGACATTAGACTTTTCCCTCCTTGCAGTTGACTTCAAAACTAAAACAAATGGTGCAGCTGGTGACTGGCCTCTGCAGCTTCACCCTTGCAATCACTCCAGCCTCCGACAGTCCTCGGGCATGCTACCGATAAGGACCCCGGACTGGGGGAGCAGTGCAGCAGTGGCGACTGTCTCCTCTGCAGTCAAGAGCCCCCAGAGCTGGAGCTCCGGAGCTCCACAGCTCTGCAGCCCCACACGGGTCTGCAGAGCAGCCCCACACGGGTCTGCAGGGACATGCTGCCGTGACTGCCCTTAACGTGTTACCCTTTTAAAGGAAGAGATTTGTTTTGCATAAAGCCCATCTAAAGCACCAAGGTTTCCTCATACAAAACTGAAAAACTAACTCGAAGGCACCAGATGCTGAGAAAGTGTCACTCATTCAGCTCTTTGTGTACCTGATGGTTATCTCTCAGGGTGACTTTATTCCTAGCAAGGAGAGATGAATTTCTGGCCTCCCTGAGAAGTGCTAATGGTGGCCATAGGTGCCAATAGCCTTCCCTCACCTATAACTGTGAAAAAGGCCTTTTTTTTTTTTTTTTCCAGACAGCCAAAACAGAATCATAAGTAATTTCCCACACTTGTTTATCCAGGGTTGGTTGTTTGGGTTTTTTTTTTTTAATTGGCATATTTAAGATTGCTAAATTCTACCTCCATGTTTCATTATTTATCTTTTGTTGACTCTAGCAGTGTGTCAGCAGGCTTTGTGTCTGGATCATTACAACCACTGTTTTCATGTGCCTGAGTGAATATGCAGCTACTTTATATTTTGGCTTCCACTTATTGGAAGGGTGATACATTGCAACAGGCTGGCTCATGTACTGAGCAGCCCTGTGAACTACAAGTTCGTCTTGTGTTTCCATACGTCTTGTGGAGGCCTATCGAGTCAACCTGCAATTATCACCTGTAATTCACTGTCTGTCTCACTTTTTTACAGCAAAGTAATGTATGTGTGTGGGAGGCTTAACGACAAGTCACAAGACTGGGTCTGGCAGGACTATGGGAGATATTTTCAACCCATTCATACAGAGTTTTTTGTCATCAGGCAGCACAGCAGTGTTGAACATTAACTTCCTTTATGGGCATGGCACACAATATCCTGCATCTCATACCAGAAGCATGACTTTTGCCCCTTCTCTTCGAGATGATGCTTGTGTCTATCTGCTAATCAGAAAGCTTTATGTGACTTGTTCTTCTCATAAAGCAATTCAAAACGTTTTAATTAAGAGGAAATCTCCTATATAGAACAATAAAGCAGACAGTTCTGTCTCATGTACTGACAGAAACTGTCTAGTCAAATTCTAGAAACGTTTATGGGGAAAGCTGTGCTTCCTGTTTTCATACTGCCAAGATTATGTCTTTCCAAAAAGTATAGAAAGGAGTACCATGAAAAATTTAATTAAGGATGAAGAAGTGGTACAATGCTGGAAAGATAATATTTTCAAAAGCTTCTTTAAACAGAATGAGCAGAGAGTTAGGTTAAAAAAGAATAGGTGTCAAAGATCCTCCCCACCTGACTTTGCACATGAACTCTTCTGAAGACTGTTTCTTGGACCAAAAAGTTTTAAAAAAGAAGGAAGATTAACAGACTTGTCAAGTCCCATGCTTTACACATCAGACTTGTTCTTTCAGTCACAACATTATGTTCCCTTACCTCAAACCTGTGTAATGTAGGACCAGTAACAAAGCTGCATCTTATACAAGGAAGAAATCCCAGCTGGAAAACAGTGTCAGTAAACACTGTCTTTAGATTTGAAGGTAGATTTTGAAGACCTTGTGATGCTGAAAATTAATTGAGCTCCGTTTTCCTGTCTATGCTGGTGTTGTTTTGCTAAATTTAGTCAATAACATTTATGATGCATATTGGTAACACAACTTGAAATTTCCTATTGCTTTTAACATCAGACCTCAGAGGAAACAAGAAATACAAGAGTGTGCTCCCTCCTCTATGTCTCTCTCTTCCACTGTTCTCCACAGAGGTTATACCCCAGCTCTGTCTGTGTGAACATGTGAATAGCAACACAGTGGAAAAAAACCCCGAACTTGTGCTGA